AGCGTATTGATAGAATAGATTATCGATGTAGTGTAGATTATAATTTAAAATAATCTAATTATGTAGTTATATAAGTTTATTCAATATTGTATATTAAAAAGAAATATGTTTACATGCAATTAAGTATGTGTAGGAGTTTCAGTTCATGTAGTTATCTTATATATATGTGATATTGTTTTTGTGTGTTTTGTACAGTATTGATTTATCACTGCAACGTGGAAATAAAATATGAATGAATGAAAATGTTGCTGTCTCTCAATGTCTCTCCATTTCCTTTTACCAAAGTATTTTTGAATGTGTTTCAGCTGCCTATAATCGTACAGGGTACCAAAAACGTAGTACGAAAGCTTTCAGTGAATCCCGAGTGAAATGAAGAATCACTAGAATTTCTGCCCAGCGAAGTTAATTCAAGAACACCTCTCTCTGATTTTTTTCTCGAAAATATTTATATTTGTATATCAATAAAACATTAATAAAATCTATTGAACAAAGGAAAACTGAATTATTACACTTCATATGTTGATAAGACTGTAAAGTATAAGACCATACACAACAAGTTTATAGAGCACTTTTAAAACGCTTCTGTAATCTTGTATTATGAATATGTAAAGTGTTAGCGGGAACAGTGTGTCGTGGAAAAATATGTGTCTCTACATTAGACAAAATAGCTGATGCACTACCAAATGAAAATATTTTTTTTACTTTTCAAAACTTGTTTTAGATGTTTTTGATATATCATTATTTTACTTTATTAAGAAAAACAAAGCATTTTAACGTTTAATTGATAAATAATTACAATGGTATTTGAAGCTTAACCATTTCATGAAAAACATGAAAATCGTGCCCATATTTATTTGGGGGTATAAATTTCCAGTTGTTTTAATTTTTTTTTGTAATTTTGTTCTTAATGTTCATGCAATTTAAACATCAGAAACAAATTATATCATATACAGTATTCGATCCTAGAAGAACGTGATAAAACATACAGTATGGTGTCTGCAGGGGGTTTCATGGGAAAGATTAGTTAGAAATTAAAACAATGAAAAAATATTTATTCTTCTAGTAAGAAATTATTGCAAATAGATTAGTAAACATAAAAATATGTTCACTTTAGAGGGCCAAGCCACTAAGTAAACACGACACCACAATTCCATTGTGGTTCCATAAAATTGAGGCGACCGGAAGTTGAGTTGACTAAGTATGGGCACAAAGGCATTGGATGTCTAACAGGCGATATAATAGTCACTTGCTGTCTTTTATTTGATTTTTAACTGGGAGACTGCTTTTGTTGTAACCTCAAGGACCATCATCGGTAATAAGAAATGCAAATATCTGGGGGAAAAGGTACGAAATGCCTGTCGGAAAATTGGTTTTTGCTCAATAAGGTCATTTTGGAGTTTTGTCATGACACTAAGACATTTGCCAGTCCTACTACATTAGATAACATGTATACATCCATATACGTGTATCGACTAGGCAAATATGTTCAATTCATATAAACAAAAATTAAGTGGTGCGTTCACAATTTTGTCTAGTTTATATTAAAAAGATCGACGCAAGTTGAGAAAAAATACTGAAAATGTAATAAATGGAGTTTCCAGTTTTTTTATTTGGTGTTGAATTTATTTTACAGGGTTCGATTTTTTCAAAAGTGCCAGGTTTTCAGATAATTTTCCAGCGTAAACGTATACTTGAGACACTTATTTTAAGATGAACAGACTGCATACAGTGGGTAAACTTTTATGACAGAAACAAGTGTCAGTGACGAATATCCTGAAATTTCCTTTATTTCCTTTATTTCCTTTGTATTATTTGTCATTATCAGTGAAAACGGAGGAGGCCTTAGGTTTTCTTTGTGTCTCTACGTTTGTCTGTCTTTTTATCTTGCTGTCTGTCAGTCTTTCATACTTGGTTTTCCGTCTTTTTTTAAAGCTTGTTGTACGAGGTCATTCAAAAAGTTCGTAGACTTTTGCCCTAACTTTTTTTTTATTGGTCGTCATATCATAACCCAAATTTGGTACACATATATACTAAAAACAAAACCGAATAATCTCAGTAAAAATTGGAATATATGTTCAAAATTATAAAGTTAAAGATAGAGAACAGTGAAAATAGGGTAACGGAGCAAAGTCAAACTTGAGTAATTTACTTCATTTTACTTTATACTACCTATAGCCATACCTCAAATAAATTGAATCAAAACGAAATGAAATTCACATGTTTAAATCAAGTCTTGTATTACTTAAGATGGTATCAGGTAATGTAAAATATCGTCCCGTTTCTAAGATATCGGTTTTTAAATACATTTATACTAGTTTTAAACAGGCAAAAAACCATGACGTTAGAGAACGTCACAGAGCAGCGAGTATGAATAAAATTTTGCTTTGCATATCGGAAAACTCTGCAAAACCCAGGAAACTGTTTGAAAAATAAACCGTGTAAAGTTTTCGAGTGGTAGCGAGTTTGAATGAGAAGATGGATGGTCTGCCAAAAAACAGGTTATAGTTTAAAATCTTGTCAAAAGTGTTTAGAACGTCATTGCACGTGATGTGCATTTCACTGTTGCAGAATCATATAGTTACGCAGTGGAGAATTCGAAGACACCAGGTTGACAATCAAGTTCAAGATATTTGCACAACTGTTATCAAACTAAGCTAGGTATCAATTGCCATGGAGATATTTTTATTAATGAAGAAGATGCTACAAAACCGTGTTAAGTTCAGTATTTTTGGGAAACTTTCTCGACGTAATTTTTGACATAACAATGTTGGTTAACCGTGCTGCGTGGTATCAAATCATGTTGCTTCAGAAGTTGGTTAGCGAGTTCTTTTTAATTAATTGGAATGAAACGTCACACTTAGACAACATAAATGTTTTTTATTTACGAAATGTGTTGCTCTATAATTTTGTAATGATAATATGATGATGGGGAACATTGTCCACGTATTTTTTGACTGACCCTCGTATATCCAACTTTCAAAAATAATATATGTTTGGTATATAATAGCAAATACATGGCACTGAAGCTGTCTCTTAATGAACTAAGGAAACGCCACTACAGAGAAATGAAAATTACCGAATTTTATTTCAAAATATAATATGTATAAATATTGAGTCGTAACACTTTGTTGTTGTCAAGACAATATAAGAACCAGCTACAAATTTAAAAACAACAATTTAGAGACCCATACGCTTCCATATAAAACATATACATGTAAATGTTATGTAATTATTAATTATACTTTTTAATACCACTTAGACATATTGCACAAAATCAAGGTTTGCATTAAATCAAATCATAAAAATTATAGACATATTTATTGTACTTAAATCCTCCTTCATCATCTCCATATATGATTATATTGTAACACGTGTTCTTTTTGCAAACAGAATATAAACCATGCGTTCTTTGTGTCTCTCGTCGCACATGTATTGTAGGTCTAAGTAATATGAGGTAAGACAAATTTAACTTTTTTTCTGCACATGTTTTTAATTGTTTTCAATTATTGTAAGATTTCTTCATTGACACAGTAAATAAAAAATTAACAACTTAAAATTGATAAAATACTTTCTTTTCTGCTTCTCAAAATTTCTATAGTACAATGAATTTAATTATATTTTTTTTTACACAATCAAAGATTTGAGGAAATTTTTAAATGCAAGTTTAATTGATAATAATGGACTAAAGGTTTAAAATATATCAAATAAATATGACTTTTTCCAAACAAACCCCAATCATATAAGCTTTAAAAGCTTCCAGTTAGTTTTCTCTCTCTTTGTAAACAACGAAAATGTTTTTGTGTCATTTTCTTTCTTGATATGACCGCTTTATCATATATAAAAATAAAATAAATAAACGAAGAGCTAAAAAAAAACCAGATATATTCTAAAAATTTAAGAAAAGTAGAAAATTTTGATAAGTCAGTATCTATTTAGTTTTATTACTCACGAGAATTTGGTGATATCGTTTTATAAACCCTATATAATTATGTGTTTTTATGCAAGAAGAAAAGCACTTTATGTTTTGAAATAGATGTAGGCATCTCATGCTATGGAACGGTAATTTTTGTTAATCATTAATGTCAAAGGGAAAAGAAAAAGACCTTGACCTGACTTCGCCAAATTCAATGCCATTAATATCATCATTGATTTCAACAGTTTTTAAAAGCAAGAAACATGAGAAGAATCCCTCCGTTAGAAGTCTACGGCTTATATATAGTTAGCATGAATGTTGGAATAGCGGCGATGATAAAAAAATCGTCGGACAATGCTATTTATAAAAAGTTTCAAGTGTCTGTATAATAAAAAATAAAACTGATTACATGGGTAGAGTGACAAGAAAGTAAATTATATTATATGTATGAGCTAAAAATACCCGCTGAAAAAATGGAGATGTCCCAGTGGAGGCTTTGTCTACCGAAATATTGTGATGGAGTATTTCGTCTTCCTTGATTCATGATAAAGCCATAGTATGTTGACTCCGGATTCAATTTTATAGATTACAAATAAAGTATTTTTCAGGCATTTTAGAATTTATCACTTCTTACAATGCAATATTTAAATCCGGACATGGCTTTATTAAGACTTTTTTAACTACAATTTTTAAATGTAATTTTCAAAAATTAATAAAATCACTTGGTGAGATTGGAAATGGTAGTACAAAGTCTGGACATTGTCGGTTCTGGTGAATGTTATATGTCTTTCTGTTTTTGGACAATATCTATATAGAAAATTAATTAAAAGCTATTCTTAAACTGACATTTATCAGATAGTTTTGCAATAGAAATTCATGCATAGTTTAAAAGAAATTTATAAAAAGTTTTGACAAATTAAAATGCAAATCATCATGACAAATAGAGTGCATCATTTCAGAATTGATTTCACTGTACAGCATGCTCTTGCATATTCAATAAACTGGGAAACATGAACTCAATATGAAGGTAATAAGGATATTTTGCTTCAAAAGTAATCAATGTTTTTTTCTTAATCTTTATAGAATGAACGTCAAAGTTCTTGTTGCAATGTTTCTGATTACGACCCCCAGAGTAACTGGAAGGAAAGTACACCAGTCACTTAAAGGTAATATATGTGTATGTGTATATTTTGTCTAAAATCAAATGTAATACAAGCATTCATGCATTGAATCAAAAAAGCATCATCTAAAAATAATAAATATGACATTGACATAATTATTAAGGTAATTTTTATTTATTATTCAAATATTAAAGATTAAAAAAAAGTAACCATATTTAAATGAACTGCATCTACTATGAAATCTCTGTATCTATGTTGATATGTTTTTCACTATGAATTAAAATGTCAAAACTGATTTTAGACAAGGTTTTATTTCAAAGATTTATTTGAAAACTTTTTTTCAAATCTTAGATATTTTAAAGAAATTCCCCTATGAAGTTCACTTGTTAATTAATTACATTATAAAATGTAAATTACCACCTTTTAAACAGAGTGTCATCAAAACATACAATGCTTCTGATGATGTGTGACAAGTAACAATGCATTGTTATTAGAAGTTCTCTATATCTATAATCTCTTTCTTCCGAACACTCTTAAAAACAATAAATGGGATGGTCCGTCTATTGCTAACCATGTCCCATCCATTGTACCAAAAGGTATAAAAGATGGACATTCTACGTGCAGCAGACAAAAAACGCACAATTTCCACGCCAATTTACAATGCATATTTTGTAAGGTACGGAATCCAAATTATCTATAATTTACTTCTATTTTTGGCAAAATAACCAAATATGAAACAAATGTGTTATATAGACTATGTGGTATTTTTTTTATCTCAAGCTCAAAAGGATGTATGGTATAGACAAAACAAGAGGCCCAGGGGCCTTATAGGTCACCTGAGCATTATGCAACAACTTTTCAGTTATTGAATTTGATTCATGTTTTAAGCCAGATGCTTTATGACATTCACAATTTTGAAAGAGGCACCATTGATCATCATAACTATTCACTTAGCAGTTGCTTAGCTTGGTTACTGAATACCCATACAGAGGGTAGGGGAACAATATTGCATTTCAACTAATCAGTAATATTCAGCAATATTCAGTAGTGCCCCATACAACCCCTGACCCTAGGTCCACACATTGCACAAATTTTTAAAGGCACCCTTAAGATTGCCTTTCAAAAAAAAAAAATAAATGTTATATGAATCTAAAGGAGCAGATTTCAAACAATTAATTCATTTTCAGTATTTAAGTAGAGCCACCCCCACCCCTGACCCTGGGTCCTTGAATTCACAGTTCTGCAAGATTAGGGCCCTTGCTCATCATAACTATAAAAGTAGTTCATCTCCTTCATACCCAGAGACAGAAAAGAAAAATTTCAAAGATTTAATGTATTTTCACTATATAATCAATAGAGCCTCGCCCTAACACCAGAGCCCCTGGCCCTGGGCCATAAAATTCATAATTTTAGAAGAGGCATTCTTGCTCATTATAACTATTTATTTAGTTAGTTTATTTAATACCTAGGAGCAGAGAAGAATATTTTCAAAGAATTCATGCATTTTTACTATATAATCAGTCAGAACCCTTGCCCCTGCATGGGGCCATAAAATTCATAATTTTGGTTGAGGCACTCATCCTCATCATAACTATGCACATAACTATGCACTTGGTTTATTTGATACCTAGGAGCAGAGAAGAAGATTTTCAAAGAATTCATGTATTTTCACTATATAACCAATAGAGCCCCCCCCGCTCCCCTAACACCAGAACCCTTGACCCTGGGGCTATAAAATTCACAATTTGGGTAAAAGCACTCTTGCTCATCATAACTATGCACTTAGTTAGTTTATTTGAAACAAAAGGGCAGAGAAGAAGATTTTCAAAGAAATCATGTATTTTCACTATATATAATCAATAGAGCCCCACCCTAACACCAGAACCCCTGACCCTGGGGCAATAAAATTCACAATTTTGGTTGAGGCACTCTTGCTCATCATAACTATGTACTTAGTTGGTTTATTTAGAACCCAGGAGCAGAGAAGAAGATTTTCAAAAAAATAATGCATTTTCACTATATACTTATTTAGCCCCACCCTAGCACTAAAACCCCTGACCCCAGGGCCATGAATTTCACACTTTGTGTAGAGGACTCGATGTTGATTACAATCATGGAAACAGTTTGAATGCTTGATGTCCAGGAGTAAAGAAGATGATTTTTAAAGATTGCATTATTTTTAGTGGTTTTGGCCCCACCCCTCAGGCCCCAGGGGGGCAGGGATAATGAAATTAACAATTTTTGTTCCCCTTCACCCATAGATGCTTTGTGCCAGATTTGGTTGAAATTGGTTCAGTGGTTGCAGAGAAGAAGCCGAAAATGTTCAAATGTTAACACACGACTCACGACGGACGACGACGGACGAAAACGGATAGCAATGGATCAAATGAGTTTACTCAAGTGACCTAATAATGGAAATTACAATTATTAATTGACAATACGTCATCCATGTATAGTTGAATACTTACCTAAGCAAGGATGCACGATTTGATGTAGTTAATTAATGTTCTTGATAAAACACAAAGCAAGTAATGTGTTTGATTTTTTTTTCTTAATATAATCTAGATCTAATTGGCATCTACTTGAAATCGGCTGAATGGAACCATACTAGGACGTATGCAAAAATCAACAATCCCATTTCCATGGATATAACATCAAATTACAAAATTGCCCCTGGAATAGTATTAGACGACATAAAGGAAAGTATGTTATCATTTTCTTAGTTTATAATTATACATATATCATTTACATACCGTACTAGTACCTGTGGTAAATTGCCAGCATACACGACTGGAAAAAAATATGCCATCGTACTTTATACAATAAAAAAAAAAGCATACATTTTTTTTTAATTACAGTAGACAATCAACACTTGCGTGACTGTAAAGCTATTCTTGAGTGGAACGCCCTCACTAAAGGAAGAAACGGCGTGTACAGCATTTATCCAGACAATGCAACATCCATAAAGGTGTACTGTGATATGACCACGGAGGGTGGAGGTTGGACGGTACGTTCGATAAATGAACCAGTTTAGAACTATTACAAGCTATTATTAAATATCTGTGATTGGGCGATAAAAAAAATGTAGGCAAAAATGTTTTGTTTGTTTGTGAATATTTGTTTTTCTTCATAAGACGAAAATATATAGGGAAATTCTAACGTGATTCAATAGCCTATGAGATTAATTTCACTTAAACCTGATTCTATACAGTTAAATTAATCAAACAAATAAAAAGGTGGATTTTGAATCTTGTAAAATCATATAGATAAATAACACAATATGTCAATTGATGATAAGGTAGATATTTAATGATGAAGTCTCGTCTAAATACCTGCAAGTAAGACTAAAAGAAAAGCCTTTAACACTGAATGAAGGAGGGAAACAATGAGCTCTTTACCTCCCTTCCTATAAACACTGTATACAAATAGTGACAAACAAGATATCGATTGAACTGCATTTGTTTTCTCAAAATTATTTCAAATAGACATGATAAAATGTGATCGGAAGAATTCCAAATAACACATCAAAGTCCCTTAATTATAGGTAATACAAAGAAGATTTAATGGACAAACGAATTTTCGCCGAAAATGGAACGATTACAAAAATGGGTTTGGCAAACCCAACAAAGAATACTGGTTAGGTAAGTAAATCATCATACTATTATTGATCTAACATCAGTCGTTGTGGTAGATACAGGATACTTAATCATAAAACCTGATCCTACGACTGATGTTTCGGAGGTTCGTGTTTGCTATGCTCCTATTTTGTATTGTTTTATGGACTTTGATATTGAATACTGTTCTTTAGCTCCATATCCTGCTTCCTTCTTTAACTTTCATTGATTCTACTTTTACCTTAAATGACATGACGAAGATACTAATAGGTTGATTTGTTGAAAAATTATTTTTCTTGGGAGGAAATTTAAACAAAATACTGTATACAAATAAATAGCTTATATTACTTCTCTCGCAAACGTTACTGGATCTGAGCCTTCAGTAGGTGCTGGCACGAAAAAGACCCCTCCCTGCTCAATGGCATAAGTGCCGAGTATAGAACAAAATTTGCAGCTCTCCACAGGCAAGTGGTGGCATCTCCATATGAGTGAAAAATTCTCGAGAGGGACGTTAAACAATATAAAATCAATCAATCAATCAATCCAATGGAGGAGCACACCTCTCAGTGACTGCTAAGTTACATTTCCGGTTTTCATATTTACTAGATTCTCAGATCTGTTACCGTAGAGAAAAGAATTCTTAAATGTTTGAATAGAAAGTGCTAAACCTTTACAGCTTGTTCAATATTAAAGTTTTTCTATTTAGATTTACATTGATCTTTCTTATATGAATTTATTGAAGAGAAAATATGTTCAATTCTGTGTGAACTTTATTGGGGGTCAGAGGTCGTACCCCGACCGAATCGCTCGGCGAGGTGATATATGTATCTTTTTTTACATAATAATCATATTCCTGACTGTTTTCGGAACTACCAAGTTAAAAGCGATGAAAATGGTAAAATAACTGACTCATATAGATATTTTCATTCAACAGATGTTCAATAGAGCTTGCTTAGAAAACATGGGATATCACCGCTTTTGACTTCAAATATATTAAAAACTCATAAAAGAGTAAGATTATTCTCAGTGGGAATCATTGTTCTTGCATTACAAACACAGAATTATTGACTGCTGATTATCATTGTAAATATTCACCCAGATAGCATGAGGACATTGGCCCAACGTTGGCCAAACAATGTCGGTTATGTTGGGCCAATGTTGGCAGTTTTACCGTATATACTCGCCTATAAGTCGGTCCGCCTATAAGTCGGTTGTATTTAATTAGCTTATATTTCAGAAGGACTGACCTCATATAATACCATTGTTTTGATAGCTCGCCTATAAGTCGGATACAGAGTTTTGGACCAGATATTGACTCCCAAAAAGACGACTTATAGGCGAATATATACGGTACGTTGGCCCAATGTCTTACTGCTCATTGGCGCGCCGTTGGCCCAACATGTTGGGCCAATGTTGGTACAAACTGTTTGTTCATTTGTCAACGTTGGTACAACGTTATTCCAACATACCAACGCCAATGCAATATTTTTTTAACGTTGGCCCAACGTTGGTCCTCAGTTCAAAATCTAATCATGACGTTGGTCCAACGTTGGTACAACGCTTTTGTTGAAATGCCAACCTTGGTACAACGCTATTCCAACATACCGATGCTAACCAAATAATTTGTAACGTTGGCCCTACAATGGACCTCAGTTCAAAATATAGTTATTATGTTGGTTCAACTTTGATACAAAGCTGATTCTTGAAATATCAATGACACAATTATTCTTCAATACAAATGTCTTACAAAACTAATTAAATTCTGTAATTTTTGTTTTCCAGATTATACGACACAATTAATTTCACCATGTTTGGTCAAATACTTTTTTCCTCCTAAAATGTATCACAATATATTATTTGCCACTTTCACTTTCATTAAAGTTTTCCATGGTATATAACTAAAAGAATGAAGAGGTAGAAAGTTCAATGTTTCTCAAGTACACTCCACATCACTATGTCCACTACTTAAATATCACTTTGATATAAGAGTCTTCAAGTTCTAACTGTAGAGTTTTGAAAGTTATCACTTTTTCTGTTGTTTATCTGTTCTTAAAATCCATGTTTCCCACACATATAAATCAGTCCCTTCCATATACAGAAATGCCACATCAATAGTCTCAGAGTGAAGAGGGTTTTTCCATCCCGGCAATTCCTGCAAACGTTAAGATTGTCATCAATTAAAATAGTATTTTCAAATGTTCATCAGCATCACACATATTTTTAAAGGAATCCTTAAAATTGAATTTCACATAAGTAATTATTAATAACAAATACAAAATAATTACTTACATTTCACTGGTTAACATTCTTGCGTTCACCTACAGATCCGGACATATCTGCTCTGTTCAAGCCCGCCAATTCCTATAAAAGTTAAGGTCCTCATCTATTACAACTGTTTAATCCGCTACCTGGTACTAATAATTTGAAAACCTACATGCAGGTTATTACAATGTTGTGTATTTCACATTATTAATTATTTCAATAACAAAAACAAAAGCTATACTTACATTGAAAGGATTAAAATCCTTGCTTTCACTTAAACAGACACATATACACTTTGAATTGTTAATGTGCGCGGTTAAAAAAAACCGATTTAAAAATGACGGTTTCCTTGGAGACCTATGAGTCACCTGCCGAGCCAGTGAATTTCACCAGTGACCTATTTATTTTGGAGCCCAAAACTTGCAAAACACAGCACTTTAAATTTGATTCTATGATGCTAAATATAGAATCTACCAAGATATAAATATACTATATGTATTTCACAGACTTATAAGGATTGTCTCATAATTTCCATTCAATATATAATATAGATCACATGTTTGTAATGAGTTGCTTATTACATTACCATCGATTTACAATAGATAAATCTAAATTGATGAATACTTTTCGCAACATTGGACCAACTTTGGACCAGCATTTCATCTCAAACATTACAGGCTACCTGTACATGTACTAGTAATCCCAGTATTCCCACTATTGGACCAACTCCAGTTCAGTCAAGCACGCCCAACACAGAGCAATGCATCATTATATTGTCAAAATTTATTAAACTGAGCTAACGTTGGGCCAACAATGAATAACCAACAATAAGTGGCAATGTTTTGCCACTAACATGTACTCAGTTAGAGCTACGTTGGGCCAACATTTCATATTTAACACACAATTGTCTTAATCCATGTCAACATTTACTCGGTTGGACCTAAGTTGGGCCAACATCTTAATGTCCAACACCAAATCGCTATGTTTCTTGTCAACATGTTACTACAATGGGCCAATATTGGGCCAACATCACATGCCCAACACCGTTGGTTTAGCTTTCATGCCAACGTAAATGAATGTTGGACCAACGTTGGGCCAATATCACATGCCCAACACTCTTGGTTTAGCTTTCATGCCAACTTAAATGAACGTTGGACCAACGTTAAGCCAATGTCACATGTCCAACACCGTTGGTTTAGCTTTCATGCCAACGTAAATGTACGTTGGACCAACGTTGGGCCTACATCTGTTCCCCAACGCCAACACTCCACCAACCATACAACCAAAAACCAACGTTGGCCCAACGGAGTCATGCTATCTGGGCAAATGTTGGAGCAAAACGAACTTTCAAACCAAACAACTTCTAGTCCCCCTAGGACATCAGAACATAGCAATACGGCGGCCCGTCAATGTGATGAATGCAGTTTGATTCAGATTGATATCAGATGTAAACATAAGTAATAAACAACAATGTTAAAAAGTCACTGGAAAGTGAACTTTTAGTTGGCACATGCTCAAATCTACTGAGAAGCCCTTGGGGCTTCACAAGATTTGATCTCGTGACCAACTAAAAGTTCATTTCCCAGCGAACTTTGTAACACTGTTGCTTATTTCTTTAATGTCCTGCATACAAATCCTTTGAAAAGAATGGCAATTTCTAATGTATCAATGTCGTTTGGGTACGTTTGCTTTTCGGAGTAAAGCGATGTGCTTGACACTGTACAACAAAATGAATATTCGTTTGTTTACGTCTTTAGTTTATGAACTGCTATTCATGAACTAGAATTCATTAAATTTTTCCATTCTTAACATTTTTCTCTTTTTTTCTCTCTGTATGATAAGGAAATGATGTAATCCATACCTTAACTAGTCGAAGAAACCAGGAACTACGAATAGATTTGGGAAAGTTCACAGGCTCCAAAGTTTATGCCAAATACACCAATTTCTCAGTTGCGAGCGGGGCTAAGAAATATCAACTATCAATCAGTGGTTACACTGGAAATGCTGGTAGGCTGTAATTTATGATCAAAATAATCTAAATTTTCACTTGACATCCATGTCACATTTCAAACTAGCTTAATCGTTATTTTCAGGGGACATGATGATTAGAGCTTATAATCTGAATGGGATGTATTTCACAACCATTGATCGAGACAATGACCAAAATGGAAGAAATTGTGCAGTCAACCATCACACTGGTGGATGGTGGTACGGTAACTGCGCACATTCTGATTTAAATGGCGTCTACGCAACATCAAACAAGAGGAACGACAAATTTCTCTTTTGGGGAACCAATGATGAAAATATGAAGACTACCAAAATGATGATACGGTCTAAAAATTAAAAAATAATATTTTGGTGCAATAAACAGAAATACAAATATTATTTTTTCAGATATTATTTTTCCAGAACATGTATTCTGTCAATTAATATTTGTACATGTTCGAGTTGTCTGAACTTTAACGATATCTATGAATGAAAATCTATTTAAGTCGCTGGTACGAATCCCATGGAGGGACATGGAGACTGAGGTCCCCAATCGCAGCTGGTTTTGACACTACTCACGGGCTTTACGTTTGAAAACCTCCAAGTGGTTACTGAATAGTTCTCGAAGGGACATTAAGAAAACAAACAAATAAACAAAAACATATAATTGTAAAAGTAAATAATTCATTGATAACGATATATGTTTAATCCAGTTATTGAAAAAAACGGAAGAAAATTAAATCAAAAAGACAATAAATACTGTGAAATCACTAATTTTCTTGGGGTTTAATTTTCGTGGTTCTCAAGGTTTGAATAGATCCACGAAATTATATCGACTACGAAATGCATTTTTTAAAATATACATGTATATCATTACTGAACAATTCTTCAACCACGAAATCAAATTCTAATGAATCAATACATATTCCTCAAACCACGAAAATTTGATCACTCGAAAGTATGTGATTTTACAATATTTACTCTACAACAATAACTGTTAAGTATATCATTGATCGAGTCAATCAGCAAGATTCCAGTTCCTCAGGAGCAAGTCTATTTGTCGAGGAGCAACGGAAGAGACCTGAAATCTTGATCACTCCCTCAATGAATTGCTGTAACTGTTTTATTATGGATGACCTTTATCACCGTACTTGTTCATTTTATGTGCTGAATTACTTACTTCCTATAGCTATAAGAACAAACATAAATATACGTGGCATAAAAAATAGAGGGGACTGAATTAAGATAATCCAGTTAGCAGACGACACTACATGTTTTTTAAGTGATGAAAAATCAGGATTTTGAATTATCAAATGTTATTTAAAATTTTAAGCATTGGTCTGGACCAAAGATTAATTCGAATCAGACTGAAACAATTTGAATATTTGAATTTGAATTCCTATATGAACTTAAAAGTCTTATTTAAACTTTTATCTGGTTTTATTTTATCTCCATTGATTTCTTTTTTCTGTTCTGCGTTTTATATATAAAGTCAAGCGCTTTAAGGTAACAGTAAAATTACAGAATACGCATTAATCAAGTTGTATAATAATGATTCAAACTTTTAACATTAATATGTTTGTTCCGTCGTTCCTTCCGTCAAAGCTTACACTATAACACTTAGACCTCTTGCTAACTCTATAAGTCACTTGTGTTTTCCTTTCCTACTTTATCTGAGCAATGTGTTTTCATAAGAAAGCAAATGTATATATTCAGCAAAGATCGTCTAAAATTTCAGCATTTAGTATTACGGTGACTGAAAGACGCATGACAACATCGATGGCAAGTATATAATTTTCTTATTTTCATTCATGTTTAAGGGGAAGATTTGAAATCGATACAGTAATGTATTTTTGAGCGTTAATTCATAGTATTTTTCATATAAAACGATGTTAAAATTATCAATAGTCCCCTTCCAGTGAACACAGAGGGAACTATTAGCTATAACTTTCTTTCTCGTCCACTGATTGTTTGCAAATATTTGGCTTATTTGCACTTTGCTCCGTTCCGACAATTCTTGACAAAATTACGGCATTTTCAGCTTTTAATGGAAACATTTGTGTATCAACTCTGAGAATGCTTGTAAATATTTGCGCATATTGCAATTGCAATTGAAAGATATGACTATATGTTTTACTCATTACTTTAAAGATTCATAATAAAAAAAAACAGGTCAAAATTCAGTAATATATACAAATAACAAACTGAATAATGTCAGTAGTCAACTGACATTATTCAGTTTGTTATTTGTATATATTACTGAATTTTGACCTGTTTTTTTTTATTATGAATCTTTAAAGTAATGAGTAAAACATATTTACAAACCTTGAACATAACGTGGTGTTAAATAAGATAGATATGACAGAAGACCACCATTTTTTTTTCCGAGCAACCTTCGTATTATTATATATTGATAATATATCTTTATTCTATTGCAATTTAAACGTAAAAACATAAATCAAAAGATTCGGGAATAAATATGTCTTCAATAGATCCCCACTTGCGTTAAGGCTATTCATTATTGTAATTAATGATGTTACATAATATATTGTACTCGACACGCCTAAGTCTGATAATAAAATTTAAAAAAAACATTTTAGAACATTAAATTCGACTCACCAGTCTTTGAATTAGTCTCCATGTACCCCAAACTACTTGAACTTTAAACCATTAGAACTGTACTTATGAGGGTAGAATTACGTCAACATAACTATCAATCGCGTGCAAGATGCATGTATCCGAGGTTAGAGTTTTGATTAAGTGGGTCAAACACTAAGGTCAAGGTCAAAAGGTCAAAAATATTTATAACCAGTAAAGTCTTGTCTCAGTAATGGATTCTTCAACAGTTCAAAATTTATTGATACGGTTTTTCGTGTGGTATTTTGATTTCTAAAAGTAGGCCAAGCTCCAAGAAAACAAAGTCAAATATGGTGGTACTCAACGAAAGGACTTGTGACATGAAATACACCTTTAAAATAAGAAAGCCATACCTTCACCCACTCAAAAATTATGGACAAAGTTTAAGTTTTTGTGGACAAACAGTCAAACATACAGACAGACGAACAAGGAAAAAATGTTAATCCCGTAACTTTGTTAACGGAGATAAATTCAATACACATTAAGACAATACATTTATGTAAAAAAAGGTTGGAGTCACAGTCGTAACTTTTTGTATTTAGTTACTATAAATTTTAAGATCCTGCAATTATTGTAGGCAAAATTACGATTCTCGAGGGAAAAAAAACATAATCAGATTGGCCGATGTGTTCTACCAAATTGAGATGTCTATTAATACCACTTATTAAACGTAAAAAATTATTGAGATCAAACCCAAAAAATCATTTCCATTTGCGTTAAATCGCAATAATTATAGAGTTTAATCAATGTAAGAAGGATTTGAAAGGTAGGACAACCCCAAAGTTCAAAGGGGCAAAGTTGTTGGTTTCTTAAGATAGGTATAATGTAACACGGATTACATGTGTGAAGTATGGAAGCCCTAACCCTTCACTCAAGTTCACTAAGTTATGGCCAAGGTTGAAATTATTGAAAAAAAGGTAAAAACAACTCGACAGTCAAAATGTCCAAATTCTTAATAACAAATAAAAAGTCTTGTTACAAGGATTAAGAAAATACTTGCCATAATCCATCAAACGTAATAGTCAAAGTTTGTTTTTTACATGTGTGTAGGTCAAACTCCAAGGTCAAGGTCAAAGAGTCTAATTCTGTAATATCTAATGAAGGGACATTTTACAAGTATTACATATGTGGAGTATGAAAGCCCTAGTTCTTGCCATTCAAAAGATATGGCCATGGTAAAAGAACAAGGTTCACTTTTGCCTTATTTGGCCTGTGTATTTCTAAAAATCTGAAATGCAATAGATTTAGTTAACAATGCATTTAATATCACTTAGATCTTTAGTGACTGCAAATCTATCAAAAATGACGTAATTTTCTGGCTAGTCAAGGCATCACGAATCACGTCAATTTCCTCATATTCTGAAAAAGTGCACAAAACGGCAAAGTTTTTTAAAAAATATTTTAGATAGCGCGCAACCTATGATCTAAAATATGCAACTAGTAAATGATAGAACTGTTTCTGATGATCAAAGGACATGTTTTATTTTTTAAATCAGAGAGTGTGCTCATATTATTTTTCTTCCCTGAATGTACTTAATTATACCTGTTTAACTAAAAATTCAACATTGCAATTTCATAAAGCCAGTTTTCCTGGACATTTAGGAGAATTTTTTTAATACGATATGAAAATATGAAGTCTCTATTTTATTTTAATGCTTCAGATGGAAAACCGAGTGTTGAACAATCCATTTGTATACTTGTCAAAATTTCTAAGTCCCCACTTTTATTTTTTTAAGTATTTAAAAACCTTAACATTAATCAACTAGTTGTTCACAATTTTGACGTAATTTTTCGATGATTGCCTGTTACGGCCAAAAAAAAATTGAAATCGATTGTGTAATTACTCATCCATGACCCTTTTTGTTAAAAAGCATGAAGTGCGAGTTTCATACGTTTTCGGGTGTATTTTCCATTTCTTTAAATTGCCATGTGTTCTCCATCTTAAGTTGTTTAGGAAAAACAGAAAAAAGCTTGTTTAAAATGCCGTGTATGTACGAATGGCAATGTGCAAGTGAAGGTGCCATGGTCCAAGATGGTTGTAGTAAAGAAAAGTTGTTTTTCCTTCATTTGTATTTGTTTATTTTATGTTAAACCGTTAAAAATACCGTCAGGATGATGCACAAAACTTTCTTGTATTCTTTATAATCATTAAAAATTGCTAGATTTTCAAGATATATCACTTTACTACCCTAGAGTTTAACCGGAAATTCCTTCAAACCGGAACCGGAAGTGACCATGGTCAAGGTGTATACATGTACTGCAACGGCACATCAACAGGGCTACTACATAAGAATTACTTACTATTGTGGAAGGAACCTATCTGCACGTGCTATTGCTCTGCATTCATTAAAAATCAATTAAAGTCTCCTTAATTATCCAAATTATTAGAAACAAACTGGATGAGTGGGGAATGCGTTTAAGAAGACCTTATGTACTGTAGGATTAATATAGGGTACAAACAATTTGGGTAAGCTTCAATGTCATCCACATCTCAACCCTATAGAACATGAACGGGACAAGATGGACGAGATATTGAGCGCTTTTCCAGCAGCAGAATCTGGCGGAAATATAGAGAACGACCTAGTCCATACATGGAATAACCTTCCAAAAGATTTTTCTTTAATTGTGTGAACTCTTTGAGATGCAATTGTCTTTATCTTAATTCGTTTGCACAGAGGATAAAAACAGTGTTGAACGATGCGAATTTTTAATTCTAGGGCGCCTTCACTCTTCTGCATTTTGTG